GCTGTGTTCAGGAATGCATCAGGACATGAAGCTGACCGAATAAGAAAGGAGATGACCAAAATATTCCAGAACCTCGGACTCAAGATAACGATACAGACAAACCTGAAGAGAGTCGACTTTCTGGACGTGACATTGGACCTGACCACCGGAAAGTACTGCCCTTACCGGAAACCGAACGACAAGCCGATGTACATCAACTGCCAGTCAAATCATCCACCTACAATCATACAGAGCCTACCTGCATCGATCAGCAGAAGACTAACAGATATTTCCAATGATGAAGACGTCTTCAGAGATACGACTCCGATCTACAGTGACGCGCTGAGGAAGAGTGGATACCGGGAGAACGTACAAAATTTTGAAGAGCGTAAAACGGACGAGACAAAAAAAGAAGCAGAAAAGGAATCGCCCCCGGAACATCATATGGTTCAACCCACCATTTAGCAAGAACGTCGCCACCGACGTCGGACATCGCTTCCTCCAGCTAGTGGCCAAACACTTCCCCAAAGGCTCAAGCCTCAACAAAATCTTCAACCGGAACTCTGTAAAGGTTAGCTACAGTTGCATGCAGAATATGGCCACTATCATCAAACAACACAATAACACGATTCTACGAACCAAGAAACAAGTCAACGGAGGTGACAACGACACCAGGACTTGTAACTGTCGGGCGAAAGACTCATGTCCACTGGACGGAGCGTGTCTAACGGAGAGCATCGTGTATAAGGCAAGAGTCACCACAGGTATGGAGAAGAAGGAGTATACTGGGTTAACAGCAGCAACATTCAAACAACGCTATTATAACCACCAATCCTCATTCCGCCACAGACAACACGAGAAGGACACCCGCCTATCGCAGTACGTCTGGACCAAAAAGGATGAAGGGAAGGCATGCATCATTCAATGGGTGGTACACCGCAGAGCAGCGGCCTACAGCAACAAAAGCAAAAGGTGCAACCTGTGCCTGGCAGAAAAATTGGCAATCGCGCAAGCACCCAAGCACCTCTCTCTCAACAAAAGGAGTGAGCTTGTGTCAAAGTGTCGCCATGAGAATAGGTACTACCGCAGAGCAGCGGCCTACAGCAACAAAAGCAAAAGGTGCAACCTGTGCCTGGCAGAAAAATTGGCAATCGCGCAAGCACCCAAGCACCACTCTCTCAACAAAAGGAGTGGGCTTGTGTCGAAGTGTCGCCATGAGAATAGGTATCGGTACTACCTTCGAAACTTTAAACCATCTACAGCCATCACCTAATTAAGTAAGAGACAACCGTCTCCAGTGGTTGTTACCTTTCACCACTGCTGTCATTCACACTTATACTTTTGGATTTGCCTCATGATGCAGTCATTCACGCTTTGCACTGCCGCCATTCACAACTTTTAGATTTGCGCCATGCTGCAGCTATTTACACTTTCCTTTGTGAGTATATAAACCAACACTGATCCAGATTTCTCATTACTGTTTTCTGATGATCGCTTAGTGCGTGAAACTCGGAGTAAAAACACTTTCTCTGTCCTCCTATTGTTTGAACCAGCTCTACCACTCGGTGTTGAGCACTCTCTTGGACAGCCTGGAACCTCTCTGTTTTATAAGTAGCATTATAGTGTGCGATTTGCAACGAGCATTATGCCAGCATTATAACACTACATTTCCACAAAAGTGGCATTATACTCAAATATGGAAGTTTTGGCCGCTACAAAAATGGACCGTTACATGCCTTGTACATAGAACTGCACAACCTGCATAGGATTGTCCAAACTAAGCCATTTCCAATTTTCCATACATACTATTGCGGTTTTGCTGGCGTTATGGAGCAATAGCAGCATAAAATTAGCTTTATGATCATGATTTTCTAGCATTTTCCATGCCGTCTACGTAGAATTACGAAACGTGCACAATACTGCCCAAACCAAGCCATTTTTCCATACTTACTACTGGTGAATTGCTGGCATTACATAGGAACAGCAGCATTATATGTAGCATTATGATACAGTTTTTCTGGCATTGCCATTAGCATTATCCCGCAAAATAACTAGCATTATCCGCCCAGGCCTAGAAGGTGCACTCACTAAAAAAATCTCTATGAGGCTCTGTCTCCAGATTGCAGCGGTGATCAAGCAGGTGCTGCATGATTGTAGTGATCACGTGATGACAGACTGCATGTAGATATTCTACGGAAGTACTAGTACTACTAGTATGCAGTGTAGGAACTAGACACAGACATGTACATGATGCAGCAGCAGGGCTCGATAGGGGAAGTCCCTGGGACCCTGTGTCTGTGAGCTGACATGTCAGTTGCATTGACAAGTGACAGTAGTACTACTAGAGTCAAACGTACAGCTGCGAGTTGGACTCACAAATAGAGCTATAATTATATAAATGAAGGTAGGGTGAGGATTGTGATTCGTGGAACTCGTTCACCTGACCTTTTCTTACATTCATTATGACCATATATTCCTAGACTTGTATCTATACTAAGTTATAGAATAAGGCACCATTTTGCCACTATGATCGATAGAGAGTATCGTATCGCCTTTCCCAAAGATACCATAATTCGTCGCAACTTATGCTTTTCGCAACCGTGCCAAACATGTGCTAGTTGCTGATATCGAATCCATATTCTCAGAAAAAGGTCAAAAGTGGCTAATATCGCAACTTAAATTTGGAGAGTTATTGTGAAAGAATCACACAAAAAGGAGCAGAAGGAATACATGTAGCAGAAGTGCAGTGACAGCAAACTCATACATCCCTTACTGCTGTGAAGCACAACACAACACAATGCCAGTACTAGCCTGTTGTATGTATTCTACTTCAGAAGTACATCATTCCAGTGCACGGAAAAGAGAATGCACATTACCGTAACTAATGTTGATCTACTGTTTCTCTAAAATGAGTCTGAAGGCAGGAGAGAAATGAGCGAGTATGCATTGGTATACCTACATTGCACACAGCAGAATGGGGATATTTAGAAATGCATCATAGCCACGGGTAACTCAAATTGAAGACACTGCTGGGAACAGAACTGATAAACAGCTGGCAGGCCTTGATAACTAAACATGATGAAGACAAATAGGAAATGAGATGTGATATTGTGAATGTTTTAAAAGTAATGCTAGCAACGGGACAACGGGACAACGGGACAATCTCAGCATCAAATGGTGTATCACATGCTACTCGTACAACACGTCTAAAAAGTGAAAATAGCTGATCTTTGTCATGGGCAGATAAACAAGAAAGATAAACAGTAACAGAATAGTTCAAGTCAGGTAAGATAACACTTAACAAGTAGGCTCGCTTTGGATGTAGCGAATGTTGCGGAAAACTTGCGAAATAGTTCGCGAAAAAGAAGAAAAGAAGAAAGACAAAATGTTACGAGTTATGACAAACTGTCCACCAGATCTTATACAGTCAGCGAGTGCGACAAAATGGCACAAAACCGACAAGAAGTACTGAGACATTCGGCGACCTGACACCTAGCTCCAACACTTCTCTAAGGCGCAAACCAACAACCTTCCAACTTGGAAGGATCAGGTTCGGAAAGGTC